AGTACTCCACTAAAAGAAACAAAATCCTTTAATTGATGAGATTGTTTTTCAAAGACTAAGACAAAAGCTTAAGAAGGTGGTGATCATGCATATGTATCTCAATTAAGTCCATATTAATATTAGAACAAAGATGAAACAGAGATATAATCATTAAGCTTAGAGGTTGTAAAAAGAGAGATACAACCTTTGATGTCTCTGTTTTCTGAGTTCCCTTGAAGAAGAAGTGAATGAAGTGAACGCTCCACACCAAACTTAAGAGTTTGCTTGTCCCTAAGCAAACAGAGAAGAGAAAATAGAGAGAAAATGTGACAGGGTTAAGGTAAAAATGCATGAATGCATGATGCAAAGTGACACCAAACTTGGTATTGAAAACACCAAACTTTAGTATGCAAAAATGTAATGAAATCAAAGCAAAGATGCATGAACATAATGCAAAATGTATGAATAGAGGATCAAGGATGAATGAGCATGGTTGATAATTACAATGAGTCACGATGTATTAAAATTTAACTACAATGATTTAATGACATGCAGGAGACGGAGTGATGATAGGATGTAATATGACAGAATGCATAATGGATGGAAGAATGCAAATTAAATGAGTGCAGTGACATGGAAAAGTGTATGGAAGGCATCAATGTATACAAGGATGAGGACATGAAATAGACAAGAATGCATGAACATGGTTGAATAAGGGAATGCATAACATGATAGGTGATGCAGAGGGCTAATCATAATGCAGATGCAAAATTATTGGAATTGGGGACGTGAAGAATATGGATGAGCATGGATGAGGAAGCAAACAACATGAATTATGAAATGCATGAGATGATGGTGCAGGGTGTGGGCAATGGGGGAGGGGAAGGAGCAAGGGAGGTCACGCCTTAGCGTGGTAGTGGCATGGGGTTTGGCTGGGAGGGGGAGGAGCAAGGGACCGCGCCAGAGCCATGCCATGACGTGGTGTTGGCGCGGTCCAGGGTGTGTAATGGGGTGAGGAGCACACCATGACTTGATGGTGATGTGGTGGGATGTGAGGGCCGCGCCAGAGCCATGCCATGGCATGGTCTAGGCACGGTCATTGGTGGTTTTGGGGTGTCTCACCACGCCTTGACTTGGTCTTGGCATGGTGAGGAGGCTGGTTTATGCCTCTGTCATGTTTTGGGTGTTGTGATTCCTCTCTGTTTCTTGCAGAACAGAGTTCCTCTGCCAACTTCTCAATCTCAAAACCAAATTCATGTAATTAGAAATCATTCACAGAACATAATATTTCTGTAATTCAATCAAGAATACTTGACCAAGTCCCTGCAGTAATACACAAATCAACAGAATAAAATTCCTCTGTTAATAATCCTCAACAAAAATCAATAGAGCCTTTCTAAGTTTATGTGATCTAACAAAACAGAAATCCTTTGTTAGTCACATGAATAATCATCAACCTATAGAAAAGTCATCATCAGTGAATGTAATCCCTAAACCTACTAAAATAAAAATTAACTACTACTAAAAAGGATATATTGGATGGGTTGTCTCCCACCAAGCGCTTGTTTATCGTCACTTAGCTTGACACTGAGCATAGTTCTTATGGAGGATCAAAGAAGTGGTTGCTGACATCCTTGGAAGAAGCAATTTTG